GGGGGGGCGGACCCCCTGTGTCTACGCAAAGCAAGGTTCATAATTATACTACTTAACGTGGATTTGCGACTTACAATTAATGATTATCGAAAATATATTATGTATTTCGTGCACAATTCTATTAGTACGCATGCGTCGCGTGACCGCAGCACATACTCATGTCGCTGCAATTCGTCGAAGTGACAGGTTTCTTAACCTGAAAAGTCGTCAACTTTGACACTAAATATCTCGTCTCGCGGAGGAGAGCGACAATTTTGGAAAGGAAAAGTTTAAAAAAAAAAAAAAACGCGTCGAAAGAGCCAAATTGGATCAAAATCGGAGGTGAGGCAGCTATTCTGGATAATTACCGCAACTTTGTATATAATTTAATATAAATTTATATTTACATTGCTTAACTTTGCAGAGCTACTCGGTGATATCTTGAAGCAGAAACCTTCAGAAACAGATGGGGTAGAATCTGTAATTGTTGTGGACAATGTACCTCGAGTGGAGCCTGACAAATTGGAGAAGCTTCAGTCTGTTATTAATAAGGTGTTAGGAAAATTTGGCACAATAGTTAACCAGTATTATCCTATGAACGAAAGTGATGGAAAAACTAAAGGGTAAATCTGAATGATTTGTTTGATCTGAGGGCTCTTGGCCACAGGATGCGTTACGCATCCTGTAGGCAGAAGCCTTTGGTTTAAGAAAATTACAGAAAGTGTTTTTCACAAACTTTATCTTCCATAAAATTAATTTCTTTTCCTTTTCTTCTGGCAGATACATTTTCCTGGAATACAACAACCATTTAAATGCGCTGACAGCAGTGAAATCTACCAACAATTATAAAATAGATAAATCCCATACATTTAAGGTCAATCTTTTCACGGATTTCAAAAAGTTTGAGGACATTCCTGAGGATTGGGAACCGCCAAAAGCTCAGCCTTTCAAAGCTGCTAATGATTTGCACTATCATTTACTGGAACCAGATGCTTATGATCAGTTTTGTGTTCTCTGTGGCAATGGGGCGGGCGTGTCGGTGCAAATCTGGCAGAATTCTGCGCCAGAGCCCACTCTGCTTGAAGAACGTAATGTGAGTAGCCTTATTTTTGGAACAAAAATGTCAACAATAAACAGACTTCATTATATCTATTATTTAAAAAAAAATTTAAATTTTTAGGAATTTGTTTTGAAGTAGATATGGAATTCTTGAGTTTGCTATAAACTTTTCAATATCTTATTCCTAAATATTTAAATTTTAATTAAATAAATATTTAAGTAATTTTGGTATCAATCTGAGGTTTAGAAACTAAAAAAAAACTGAATGAAACAATTAACGTTTACTTTTCTCTTGATATCAGCGCTGGACTGAGACCTATGTAAAATGGTCGCCACTAGGCACGTATCTGTCCACATTCCACAAATTGGGAGTTGCACTGTGGGGTGGCCCGCAGTTCACCCAGCAGGCCAGATTCAGTCAGCGAGGTGTTGAGTGCATCGATTATTCGCCCGGCGAGCGTTACTTGGTCACTTACACTCCACGTACGGATCTCGGGGACTCGAAACGCTTGGTAATCTGGGACATTTTGTCGAGTCAGGAGAAACGGTCCTTCTTCCCCGATGGATCTTCCGTCTGGCCAATTTTCCGCTGGTCACATGACGATAAATATTTGGCACGAATGGGAGAAGATGTGCTCAGTGTCTATGAAACTCCAGTGAGTACTTCTAAAAGTATTTTTTACTTACAGAATTTTCGTGAAACAATATCTATAAATTTTTAGGGTTTCTAAATTCGAAACTTTGATCAAAATTTTTTCCATTCTCTTTATAATTTGATTACCGCTATCATCGTATTCAATCTTTCAGTCGTTTGGGTTGCTGGACAAAAAGAGTATCAAGATCCCAGGAATCAGAGATTTTAGTTGGTCGCCGACGGACAACATTCTTGCTTATTGGGTACCGGAAGACAAGGATGTACCAGCAAGAGTAACTCTGCTCGAAATTCCGAAGTGAGTCTCTAATCTTGAATTACATCGAATTATAAACAATGCTGATTCTTCGTTGAACAATTCTTCTTTTCAGTCGCAATGAAATACGGAATAAGAATTTGTTCAACGTGGCCGACTGCAAAATCTTCTGGCAAAAGTCCGGCGATTATCTGTGTGTGAAAGTCGATCGCTTCGCCAAACGCAAGGAAAAGACAGAGCAGAAGTATACGGTCAGTTGCTTCAGTACTTCTTATTTTTTTTAATTTTATAGCAAACATCTTTGATGGCCGTTAAAAATTGTTTCTATTTCGGCTTACAGGGCATGTCATACAACTTTGAAATCTTCCACATGCGGGAAAAGCAGATTCCCGTGGACAGTGTGGAGATAAAGGAGCCGATTCACGCGTTTGCATGGGAGCCGGTTGGTAGCAAGTTTGCCATCATCCACGGAGAGATACCTAGCGTGAACGTCAGTTTCTACGAAGTGCGCTATGGCCACCAACCCGCCCTCCTCAGTAAGTTGACTATATAGAACGGAATTTCTGTTGTCTTTTCTACTTTTTCTTGGATTAAATCAATAACTCACCAGTTTTTGCTTCGTACTTCTATAAACCATTTTTGAACTATTTTTCTAACAGAGAGATTAGAGAAAAAAGCTTGTAATCATCTGTTCTGGTCGCCATCGGGCCAATTCATCGTTCTTGCTGGTCTGACGACAATGGCCGGCGCTTTGGAATTCATCGATACAAATGACTTTACTATCATGAACTCGACTGATCATTATCAAACTTCGGACGTGGAATGGGACCCCACTGGCAGGTGAGTTTAGAGCAACTTGGAAAAGTTTGCGCAATAAAGAAGCTAATTATAAAAAAATTTTGTTGCTGGATTTTGATGTTTTGCAAAAACAAGATCGTTTTATAAAAATTTTGAAATTTTGACCGACAGATGAAATTTTAGTAATTTAATAAAGTTTACCAGTAGTTTTTTTATTAAATTTTTGTTCCGAAATATTGATTCAATATTACATTAAAAAACTGCTAGCAAAGATACAAATCATCGTATACTTGTAATTTACATTTTGTCTATCTATTTTAACAAATTTATACAATAGCAAGAATCAATTTTTACGATTTTCTTTGTGATTAATTACAGGTACGTCGTCACGGCGGTGTCGAGCTGGAAGACCAGCGTCGACAACGGTTACTGGATATGGACGTTCCAGGGCCGAATCTTAAAGAGGGTCAACCTGAATGCCTTCAACCAGCTCCTCTGGCGGCCGCGACCACCGACTCTGCTCACTGCGGAGCAGATTAAAGAAATAAAAAAGAACTTGAAGAAGTATTCGGCACAATTTGAAAGCAAAGACCGAATGCGATTGACACGTGCTTCAAAGGTACATTCGATTATTCGTGTCAAACGCTTCTTCATCGTTCGACATAAGAAATTTTTCTCACTAATTATTTTCTCCTAAAATATTGAAAATTTTTTTATTTTTACATTCGATCTTTAACTACTTTACGACAGTTACATTTCAGTTTTCTTCAAAAATTGTCTTAATTTAAAGTGATTAAGAATAATATATACAAATGCAAGTCATATGTATAATAGAATGTATTTTCTTTATGGATTTCTCAAAGATCATGATAACGATTTTAACAACTAATTAACTTTATAGGAGCTGATTGAGAAACGTTGCCTACTCATGAAGGCATTTGAAGAGTATCGGTCGAAGCGCATTGAAGAATATACCAACCAAAAGAAGCGCCGTCTCGAATTACGTTGCAGTAAGTATGCTACATATATTCATCTCGTATTATATGATATAACAACATTGTGTGCGGTAACATTTTTAGCGCTATAAATATATGCGTACATTAATAAATAAACGATGCTACCTTGTCTACAAATATTTCAAGCGTAGACTTTATTGCACAATTGTCTTGAAAATAAATAATACTTTTCTAATGCCTTGAACGATTGGAATTAAAACGTTATAAATTTTTTTTTCCAGATATTGACACCGATGAGCTGGATTCCGACTCGAAGAACGTAGAGGAGGAAGTTGTGGAGTTTTTCGTCAAAGAGGAGACTTTTGTAATCGACGACAAATAAAGACTCTTACCCAGCAATTGTTGTTGATTGCCACGCACTGACTAGTTGGTCTTGAATTTTTCTAGTTAGAATTATTCTTCATAAATCGCCCGCACGATTTTTATCTTCTTTTATGCATTTTTCTAGAATTTATTATTAATAATATATCTTTTATCTTCTTTTATGCATTTTTCTAGAATTTATTATTAATAATATAATATATTATATAATTTTATTTCTATTTTTAAGAAAATAGAAATTCAAAATTCTGTAGAACAAAAAAGCAAAAAGAGATGAGGGATCACGTGGGCGATTTATGTCAAGACCTGAATTAAATGAAGCAATCATGTATTACCGAGAGTGGAATCTTATTTATTACGGAACATGTTAAATTAATCTTAAAATTAAATAATTTTAGAATATGGAATTTGCCTCTAAGATATACCGACTTCAGAAATAATAACGGAAAAAGAGTACAATTGCGCACACCCAAGCCGGCGGCACTCTGTCCTGCTGCGAAAAGGTCTTCCGCGTGACGGGCTTCGCGCAGGAGAACAATCGTGCCTGCTCCTCGTGCAACGCGTCTTGCAGTTTCTTGTTCTTTGTCACAAGAGCTATTTGCGTTTCAAGGTCTTTGTTCACCGATCTATAACCTAAATCATTTCGGATTTCGATATACATTTAATTCGAATAAAAAATATATAGCCTTCAATTGCTAATATGCGACTTAAGATGCAGTCACACAACTAAAAGTGATACATTTTGCAGTCACAATACTTTTCATTAGTGCCGCGAATATCTCAGATTAAAAGCAAGATAATCGAAAGTGATAGAAGCTTACCAAAATTAGGCGAGCCTATGAGAGTCAACGAGGGTTTTTGTTGATCAGGCAAAGTATACCAAAGACCTTTGGCGTGATAAGTCCATCCCGGTTTGATAAACTCCCACAATGTTACCCTTTTTTGCTGATCCATCTTCTCGCATAAGTTATAAAATGATTCTTCTATTCTAGTATATGCCGCTGGAATTCCTCCAGCAATTCCTTTGGCATCTGAAAGACACGAATAAATGCAAACTTAAGTAATTATTAACTTATAACTAGTTATATTAGCTATGTAGAGAAAAATAATCCTGCACAATAAGATTTACGCAGATCTTAATTATGATTTACATAAGTTTAAAATTTTTTTAAATACAATAGTATAAATATATAGCTCTTTTCTTATTAAAATAATAATCTTGAAACAACAAGCTGATAGAGCAGGAGCTAGTTATAATTGCTCAAATTTTCCATTTATTACAAAATAATTACAAATTCAGACGTTTCGGCCTAAAGGACGTGGCCATCTTCAGTGTAACAAATTAATATAAATAATGTCGTCGTTAGTCGAAAAACGTTGACAAGATAATCAGAATAGACATGTTCTCAGACAATACTTATGATTTAGGTAACGCATCCTTTTATGACACGGATTGTACATTTTGTCATATCAAACTTATGTGAAGCCAAGGATCATCTAATTTAGTAGGTCCGTTAGACACATGTATCGAACAAATAAAGTAAGACATGCGTCGACGGCAGTGAGCCGGGCTTTAAATTTTTAATTTGCGTTCGAAAAATGCAAACGTTTAAGATTCTAAATATAATTTCATAATGTGACGTATCAGTAACTTACTAAAGAAACCATTGGCAGTAGGATGTGCTGTCAAAAGATGACACGTTGCCTGACAATCTCTAAGTACGGCTTGACTGTAGTCGGACGTTAGATTAAAATAACCAGTTGCCAGCTTAAGCGTGGCTCCCGCTGGAGCCATTTGCAAGAGTTTCAATGTCACTTCGCTGTCATGACAGATATTCAGCTGACTCATCTGCACAAGTGGAAATATCCATGTGTCTGCATCTACAATATCGAAACGTTCATAATTTAAACCGACTTCTATATCGTTCCGTTTATTTATATCAACCTAATGGAAAAAATTTTGTAAATATGTCCTCTAGCATCAACATTTTGCGAAACAAAGAAGTCAGCACCTGCTTTGTCCAAATCCATACGCTTTTCTATTTCATTCTGGAAAAGCGTTTGTATTCTATACGCGGCTTCCTGGGTGAAGATTTTCCTGGATCCTTTGTAAGGATGACAGTTTGCAGCAGGATTCAAACTTGTGTTGCCGTCCGGTTGCAACAAGAAACTAAATTCCGTCACTTTTTCGACCAATTCGTTATAGAAGTCGCAAAGTTCCTCGCAATCTTCAATGACGAAATATCGATCCTGCCGATTCTTGAAGTAATCGTTGCTAAGATTTGCCCTAACAAAGTAATTCTTTATAAATAAATATTATATATCCACATATAGAACTCTTAAATAGATTCGTTACTATTGAAAATTATAACTACGGAATGTCCTGTTTTCTTTTTCTCTAAATAAATTGTTAATAATTACCCGCTAATGATTAAATCGTCATCGATCATGTAGAGTTTCATATGTTGCAAGCCAATTAGCTCATTAAAGCGATCAGGGATCACTGTCTTCATGACGCCTCGCAGTTTCGGCGTGTGATAAAAAAAGATCTTACAGCGATCTCCATATTTGCCTTTCAGCAAGGGCTCCAGCATCTTCCGAGAGTTCTGCTTACCTCGAGAACCTCTCATATAGTCGAGCAGTATCCGCACTTGCACATTGCCATTACTTGTATTCATCGTTTTCTCTATTGTGTTTACCTGTTGTGTTTAAGATTTGTTGAAAAAAATAAATTAAAAAACTGGAAAACTGATGTCTTTTTTCTCAACTCTAATCTTTTTCTCATCTTATTCTCAATTAAGCTTTAAGCTTTATGTTATTAAACTTTGTAATTTTTTCTATTTTTAGTTATCTCAAATTTTTGTTACAAACTAAATATGTTTTTATTATACCTACTAGCTCGGTTTCTAAAACACCAGTACCTAAATACAGTGAGGCAAGTGTTATTCTTCTCTTGGCATGTTTGCATTTCTCCAGCAGAGTTTTGTAAAACTCTTGTGGCTCATAAACTATGCTAATCTGTGGAGAAAAATATTCTTGTTAAAGCAGAACATGTGTTTAACGTCTATAAAATTGTGCAGGCAAAATTATTTTACCTTGGAGCTTTGCACTGGAAAGGCAGGAGCCACAGTATGTAACCAGGACAATAAGTTAGCTTCCTGTTGTATAGGAATATCTAAATCTCTAAACTTCTCATCGTCCAGCATCGCTATTTGTACTTTGTGCCTAACAAGCAGTGAATTTATATAACAGGTCTTTACTTTGTTTGCAGCGCCTAGTAATTTGGGTCCACAAAACCTAAAACAAATACAAATTTGTCAGAACAATATAAAAATACGACATAAAATACATAATTAAAAACAGTAAAAATACAAGAAATTATTTGTACAATTATTGAATTTCCAAATTATGACACAATTTCTATTAATTGTAATATATTATCTTCGCTATTGTTTAGAAAACAAGAATTATAATTTGTGCTGATTACAGTTGATCATAAAAAAATTATGTATTTTTTATACAAAACTTTAATATTTCGCACAAGTGTCAGAGAAACTCGTGTACAACTCACGCTAACTTACATTATTACATCACAATTATATTATAATTGTGCTACTGCCATAATTATTTATAAATTTCGAGTCTTATTGTATTATGACACACATTGTTTATACAAAATTTCGATTCTATTTTTGCAAAATGAGTCAAATGTCAAAAGAATTTGAAGGTTATGTTCCATTAACCTAAGCATTTATGCGAAATGTGACATAACACGTATCAGGCGACGTCGGAATAATTCGTACGCACCGTTTAAAGATTCGCAGAGTTGAACTGTGCATGAGGAGCTGCTGTCATAAATAATAAATATGAATTAAAAAATTGATCATGCACGCAACGGTTTACAATATGAAATGTGCAAAACAAAAGAAAAAGGACATTAATTAGCAAGCGCCATCTATTGGCGTATGAATAAATACACGAGAGCTTCGTCGCTGCTCCGTCGCTAAGCAACAAATGTGTACATAATACGTACGTGATAGTTGCACGGTATACATTTGCGGTTACACTTGTTCTACATTAATATTGTATATTAAATGCTTGTAAATAATATTAACGTAATTGAGACTAAATGAGAATAGAATTTTAATTGAATCAACATGTTACTGAAATACCTTGGCAGTGTCATGCCAGCGCTGGTGAGAGAAAACGACCCAATTTCAAAGATATTTTTCTCAATTTCCTAAAAAATTTTGACTTATTTTTTTAGCAAATCATCCTGCATGCAAATTACATTTTTCACTGCATATATATGGATCCATATGTGTAGATATTTTGTATATTGGTGTTTAATATCATATGTAAATTTAAACAAATAATAAATATATAGATATATAGTTTTAAGAAAGTCAATTTTTATATTTTATATATTTTTATAGGAATTGGAGAATAAAGTAGTTAGCATAGCATGGTCACCAAACAATTTAAAGCTAGCTGTGGCATCTTCTGATCGTTCCATTTACCTCTTTGATGAAAATGGTGTAAAACGGGACAGGTTTTCGACTAAGCCTGTTGACGCCAAGGTATTTATCTTCTATCTGTTATAAATATGTTTTTAATTCATGTTATTGATCGTTTATGTGCCTATAAAAATTACAAGTTTCTTAACTTTATAGAAATAATATTTAATAATAACTTTTTTTCGTAGTTTGGCAAAAAAAGCTATATGGTGAAGGGTATAGCCTTCTCCCCAGAATCGACAAAAATTGCAGTCGGCCAAACTGACTGTATTGTATATGTTTATAAAATTGGAGAAGATTGGTATCTATCGATGTCTAACTTTCTTTATTAATTCTATGAAGAGAAAAAAGTAGAAAAATTAAAATAAATAAATTATTGACTAATATATATTATTTTAGGGGCGATAAGAAGGTTATTTGTAACAAATTTCGTCAGAGTTCCTCGGTAACTTGCCTGATCTGGCTTGCGGAAGGCCCGATCATTGTAGGATTGGCAGATGGAAAAGTTCGCGCAGCTCTGGTGAAGTCGCAGAAGGCGCAAACCTTGTACACTTCCGACGCCATGACGATCGCGCTAGCTAGCAAGTAAATTATCAGCTCTTTGTTTCGATCATCCGCACAATCATCCGTAATTATGATTTTTCACAGTATATGATTTTCCTCAATTTTCAGCGTCCGCGGCAGTGGTTTTCTGTCAAGCCACGCTGACGGCAGTATCATCCGCTATTACGTCGCCGAAGACGGCAGCGCGGAACCATCGGGGCGTGTATGCGTTCATAACGTGCCTGCTTATGCTCTGGCGTGGCTGCAATCGCATATTCTAGCCGGGGGTTGCGACAAACGACTGACTCTGTACGATTCGTACGGCAAGGCGGCCAAGAGTTTCGATTTTAGCCGCGATCCTGAAGAGAGAGAGATCACCGTGGCCTGTTGCAGCCCGAGCGGTCAGAGTGTCGCCGTGGGCTCGTGGGATAAGGTGCGCGTCCTTGATTGGACGCCCCGACGAGGTGTCTGGGAAGAAACGAATGTGAGAGAATTGCCGAACTTCTACACAGTCACGGCGCTCGCCTGGAGGCGAGACGGCTCGAAATTGGTGGTCGGAGGATTGTGCGGCGGTGTCGAGCAGTTCGAAACTATCTTAAGGTGACTGGAAGCCGATTAAATTATAAATGTTTTTAATTTCTTTTGCCGTTTTTTGCTGCAGCGCGATTTAAAAGATTTAATCATTTTCAAGTTGGAAATTTTCGCAAAGCAAAAATGCACTTTTTATTTTTAAGAGTTGCAAAAATGTTTGGTGTAAAAGCGCATAAGCTCGATAAATTGCAAAAAGAATTGCAACAAAATTTGGAAAAATGTTAGTATTAATAAAATAAGTTTGAAAGATATTTCGTTATTTCGAATATCGCTAAATATCGCTTCTTCATCTTTCAGGCGCACAGTTGTCCGCGGTAGTCACGAAGTGGCCTACGTGGGTCCCAGCCAGGTGGTGATTCGTCCGTTGAGCGACTCTCCGCAGCGCTCTATCGTCATCAGATCGCAGACAGGTCTGGAACTCGAGGATGTGCGTGTGCTGGGGCGCAGAGACAACAACGTAGTAGCGCGAACGGCGCGTACCCTGCTGATCGGCGACATTGAGCTGGGTCTGATGAGCGAAATCCCATGGGAAAACCAGCATAACGGCAGTGAGAAATTCTTCTTCGAGTATCCGGTTGTCTGCTTGATCTTCTGCTCGGGCGAGCTGACAATCGTCGAGTACGGCCAGAACGAGGCTCTCGGCTCCGTGCGAACAGAAGCGGTGAATCCGCACGTGGTGAGCGTACGCGTGAATGAACGACCCTCGGCCGGCAGTGACGACAATAAAAAGCTGGCTTATCTATTGGATCCGAAAACTATCCGCGTGGTCGATCTGGTAACCGGCGCGACCGTCAACATGATCGTCCACGACGCTCGCATCGATTGGCTGGAGCTGAGCGAGGCGGGACATCGATTATTGTCGCGCGATAAGCGAAGTCGCCTTTGGCTGAGCGATGAAACCGGCGGCAGGTAATTATCTTGTATTTTTAGCCCAGATATAGGAAGAATTAATATAATAACGCTGTATAATATAATTATACTATGACTGGCCGTTTAATAAAATTACAATAATTATTAAAAATTCGCTGAAATGGCGCGCTTCGTATTTTCAGAAAATTAATCATAATCTAGTTACTAATGAATGGCGAATTCATCGCTGAAATTACTTTCTTCTTTTTATTTACTTTTTCGCTGCCTTTGCCAATGCAGTTGCCACTGTTAATTTGGTATAAAAGATTTTTATCCGCCAAATTGAAACCGAAATTGCTTGGTCTTGAAACAATTTTTTCATCAAGAAAAGTAATTAGTGAAATGGCGAGCTTTCTGAAAGTGGCAACTTTATTAATCAAGAAGACGAATCTTTCGCATTCTCATTTTTTCATCGAACATTTAATTTACGAATAAGTTTTCCATCAGAATCACACTTGCTTCAATTTTTCTCCACTTTGTGGAACCAGAGTTCTACTGGTGTCCGGCGCATCCTTTGCGTCCTGGGTGCCCGGTAGCGACGTCGTCGTCGCCCAGACCAGTCAAACCCTGGCCGTGTGGTACAACGTGGACGCGCCGGAAGCGGCGACGCTGACGCTGATCAAGGGTGACGTGGTGGATGTCGTTCGGGAAGACGGCAAGACGTCCGTGATGGTGGAAGAGCACGGCGCCAAGGTGGCGTATACGTTGGACGAGGGACTGATCGAGTTCGGCACCGCGCTGCACGACAATGACTTCGGCAGAGTCGTCCTGTTTCTGGAAAATATGGGCGACAGTCCGCAAGCGGAGACCATGTGGGAGAACGTGGCGAAAAACGCGATGAGCGAGAGGAAGCTCACGATAGCCGCCAGATGCTACGCCGCGATGGGCGACGTAGCTTGCGCGAGGTTTCTGAAGGAGACCGTCGAGGTTAGGTTTTCTTCTTTTTCATTCTCCGTTTTTTTTTATATAAAACACATGCTTGTCTCAAGTTAAATGCACGTTTCTTCAAGATACAATTTGCTATACTACTGCTTGTTACATTTCAAGATCGGTGAGAAGTACGCTAAGGAGACGGGCAACGACCCGATGTCCTGTCCGGACTGCTGGGCTCGCCTGGCCATATTGGACGGCGACCTGAAGACGGCCGAGGCGATTTATCTCGAGCAAAACGAGCTGGACAAGGCGCTGGACATGTACCAGCGTTACTGGCACTGGGAGGACGCTCTGAACTTAGCCCAGAGTCGTAACTGGAGCGGTCTGTCCGAGCTGCGGGATCGCCATTTAGCCTGGCTGCTGGATAGCGGTCAGACGGTTCGCGCGGCTTCCATTATCGAGACCACGAATCCCAGAAGAGCCGTAAAACTGTACTTGGAGGCGCGTCGACCCGGACGAGCCGCTCGACTGGCGCTCGCCAACAACGAGCTGCTGGAAGACGAACAAATCGTCGAGGAGGTCATCAGCAGCCTCAAGGCCACCGATCTCATGGAACTCGCCGGCGAATTGCTGGAGAAGACGGGCGCCGGCGCTGAGGCGATCGGCTGTTACGCTCAGGCTGGCGTCTTCGCCAGAGCCCTCGATTTGGCGCGCAAAGTTGACGCCAGCATGGTGGTCGAACTCGAGAGGGATTGGGGGAAGCATTTGGCGGCGAACGGTCACTATGACGCCGCCATTAATCATTTTATCGAGGCGGGAGAAACAGTGCTAGCGCTCAAGGCGGCTATTAACGCCCGACAATGGAGGAAGGCTTTGCAGATTATACAGGTACAACAGTTGCGCCGCGAATGTATGTTTCGAATAATATCTCGCTGTTACAGCGCTGTTGCAGCGAAGCGTTGCTGCGTTACTGTTTTCTCGCGATAGAAACTGGTCGAATTGCACGCTCGCGTTTTGAACCGTCGCGCAAATAACCGATTTATTACTTATTCTTATTTCGGCTCACAAAAGCAGCTTATTTTCTCGCATTCATCTTGTTTTATATTTTCTCTCTTTTTTTTTTAGGTAATTGAAGACGATGATCCCGAAATTCAACAGCAGTGCGAAAAGCTGGGCGAGTATTTCTCCTCGGTCGGCGAAGGGAACTTGGCGGAGAGTCTTTTCATTCGTGCGGGAAACACTCAGCGTGCCGTGGAGATGCACGTGCAGTCGGGCGACTGGATGCGCGCACACCAGGTGGCTCAGGAACACATGAAGAGCGACGAAGCCAACCAAGTGCTGGCGAAGCACGCCGACAGTCTGCAGCAAACTGGCGAGCTTCGTGCCGCCGAAGCGCTTTACGTCGCGATCGGCGATTACGACGCGGCGATCGCCATGTATCGCAAAGCGGGAAATCGTAGCGACATGATCAGACTAGTCGCCGAGCACCGGCCGGACCTCCTTCAGACCACTCACACGCATCTGGCGAGGGAGCTGAACACCGCCGGCAAGCTGAGAGAAGCCGAAGAGCATTTCCTAGGTCGGGCTTGTGCACTCGAAGCAACTACGATTTTAAACTTTTAACGCCTTGCAACTCGCGTGAAAACTCTTTACTAGGCAGATTAAAAAGTTTCATTTTATTCTCAGCTTGTGTGTATTTTATTTCAGGCGCTGGTGACTGGCGCGGAGCAGTTACAGCTTACAGATCGGCAAATATGTGGGAGGACGCGTTGAGAGTCGCTAAGAAGGCTTCCGGAGAAAAAGCAGCACAGCAGGTTAAGATTTGCGTAGCGCGAAGGAGCTAAAAATATTTTTCGTTTCTCTTCAGCTGCCATTATTAAGCTGCCTTCATTTTAGGTTGCCTTGATGTGGGCTCGAACGCTGGCTCCGGAATTGGGCGCAAGACTCCTGATGCGGCTTAACTACTTGGAGTCTTGCCTGCAACTGGCATGCGAAGCCAGCCTGTTCGAGTGGGCTCTGGAAATCGTCAAGTACGGCACGGAGGATCAAAAGAAGGAAGTCCACTATCGCTACGCCATGGCGTTGGAGGATGAGGGCCGCTTCGCCGACGCTGAGAAGGAGTTCGTGCAAGCCGGCAAGGCCGTGGAAGCTGTGCAAATGTACATTCACAGCCGCGATTGGGAGTCCGCTGAGGATGTCGCGCGATCGCACAGCCAAGAGGCAGTGGCGCAGGTCTTGATTGCACGAGCCGCCGAAGCCGCTGAAGGGCAGGATTACGCGGCGGCGGAAGCTCTTCTTCTGAGAGCCCACAAGCCAGAGATGATAATAGAGCATTATAAGGTTGAGTTCTGTTCGTTATTTCTGCGAATCGTGCGAAAAGCTTTTCCGCATTGAGAAAAAAAATTGCAAAGCAATGTTGAATCGATTCAGCTTATCAAATGCATTATTTATTTGCACTATTTAAGTTGACTATATATTTGTTAAGACTTTAAACTTTATCATTTTTATTAAATTTAAGATACCGACAAAACTATGTTGCTTTAAATTGCACGAGATTATTAATATTTACGTAAATTGGCTTAAATCTAATGAATATTTCAACTAAAAATGTGATTATCAATTAAATGTACTTGATTAACTCCTTTTTTTCTCCGTGCAGATTGTTAATTAATTTACACGATAATTTCTCCATTTAATAATATGCGGATTCAGTAAGTGTCTATTTCTTTTTTAATCGTATTTAAAATTATTTTAGACCGCCGGCATGTGGTCCGAGGCATTGCGAGTGTGCCGAGAGTATTTGCCCAGTCAGGAGGCGGCCCTGCGTAGAGAGCTGGGTCAGAAAAGCGCGGGGCCGGACGGTGCGAACGCGTTAGAGGAGGCTCGCAAGTGGCTCGACCTCGGGGAAGTGCGGCCTGCCTTAGACACTCTGATTCTGAATCCGCAGGCGCCGAGATCTTATCTCATTCGTGCGGCTGACATCCTTCTGCATCAGGCGGATCCCGAAACCGCGGCGGAGATCGGCGGTGATCTGGGCACACGCTTGTTTTCCGTCGGTGAACACGCGCTCGCCGCTCAAGTATAATTCTTTTTTTTTTTACTTAATAAACAAATTTTGACAAATTTTGACAATCATGATGAGTATGTTGAAAAATGTTGCAGGTGTTTCTTCAGGCTGATCGGCTGAAGGACGCGGTGAGCTCGTTGGTGGCGGTCGGCGAATGGGATCGTGCGCGTCGAATCGTCCGCGAGCTCGCTCCCGATCTCGAACCGTATCTCGATGAAAAGTACCAGGATGCCATGGCGAACGAAGGGGAAATGGAGCGGCTGGCGGAAGTGGACGGTAACGCCGCCCTCGAGGTGATGGCGCGCAAGGGTCAGTGGAGTCAAGTATTCGACGCCGCGGCCTCGCAAAGTTCAGAAGTTTTGCACAAATTTGTGGCGCGACGTGCCGCGCAGTTGCTGAAGGGCAACGCCGCGTCGCAGGCGTTGCAGCTTTACGCGCAATACGGCGCGCCCGCGATCTCGCAGAACTTTAATCTGTACCTGCAGTTGGCGGAAAGCGTCTTAAACGCGGAGCAGCACGAATACAGGTATGGCATTTGTATTTGCAAAAAAATTCCGCCGAAAACACGGCGTGCGGTTCAGCTTTATCGAAATTTCCACTTTTGAAAATGTCTTACTCTCGCTCGAGCGTATTTTACTAGGGAATGTCTCTTCGCAAATTGATTGATTCCAGATATCTGGCTCAACTCCGCGACGTTTTGCACAGTCTCAGCCGTTCGTCGCCGTCTTTCGATAAATTCGAGCGTCTTTTGGAGGCTGCGCACCTCGCCGCGTTGAGACACGGCTGCCGTGCGTTGCCAGCGCTTTCTGGCGTTGCCGTGAAAGCGTCCATCCGCCTGTTGCGGCACACCGACGTCCTCCGCGCAGATATATGCTACTACGAAGCGGGCGCCGCGGCGCGCACCGCCGGTCTCTTGAGCGAAGCCTTCGTTTTTCTCAACCACTTCCTCGATCTGGAGGAGTGCATCGAGGAAGAGGGCGACGGCAACATTCTCGACGTGGACGATCTACGCGTCACCGACTTTCCGCTGGAGGTTCCGCTTCCGGAGAAGCTCGGCGTCTCGGCGGATCAGCGCGAGGAGGCGAGAGAGTGGGTGCTGGCGGTGTCTATGGACCAAAAGATCGAGCAGGGTCTGCCGGTCGATCAGAGGGGCGTTTACGTCGGCTCTCTGACGTCGCCGACTAGCTCTGGCGCGCCTCTTCAACCGTGCGCGATCACGGGATACCCGATACGAGGCCCGGTTATCAGATTCGAGGAGTCCAGCCGCGTGGCTGATCGCGATGACTGGAACAAGCTGGCCAACGCGGCCCGACAGGCGACACCGGATTCGCCGATTAACGATATCTTGAGATTCCTTCAGGAATGGTGCGGCATGGCGCCGAAGTATTCGTTCTGAACAGATGATTTGAAGCGGTTTTAATAAAGGTAATGTAAAGAATAAACATTATAATTTAACACTGCGTGTAGATAAATAAATAAATAATATTAAGGACATTTTGTATCTAATTTACGTCATTTCGCCGTTTTTCGTCGCTTACTGATTCTTGTTCAGTTCAGCAATCTGTACTTTAGGATCAAAATTATGTTTATTATATATAATTGAATTGATATACTTACTCTTGGTTTGTACATTCTTGAAAAGAAGGGGAGAACACAAAATTGTAAGAAGGATCAATTCGCCAAATTGTTGCCGGTTAATCCTTCTTTCGGTCAGGTAGCACGCTTGTCCTGTAGGGTAGCTAATGAAGGGATTTGAAAGGGTGGGCAGCCGCAGATGATAATTAACCGCTTGGCAAATACGCTCGGCTTTGGCGCATTCCATAAGCCAAAAAGCCGTCCGTGGAATTTGGTGGTTCAAAGTAAAGCAAATACACGCACACACGCTCGCGTTATATTGACTGAAATCGTAACCCCGGCTTGATGCACGCACGCTGGCCATGCTGCCGACATTTAACATCCAATTCTCCCGTCGCGAGAGAGAGAGAGAAAGAGAGAGCGACATTCGCGTCAAGTGATACAAAGTAATTTATTAACGAAACGATCACGGAAATTAATGGAACAATATTTAACGGAGCAAAATATGCAAAAGTATACTATTATTTTTGTCACAATTGTCATGTTTCGATGATAATTAGAAAATAAAAAAACTTGCTTGTTAAGAATTAATCAAAATTCTCTCTTGATTTGAAATACTTAAGATATACAATATAGTTTTTCTTATAAAAGGAAAAATACAGTGTATAGAAATCTTTATTCGGACAAAGTTGAAGAAATGTAAATGCGATTGAGACAGCGCATCTCACGTTGCTTCCCACACAGCCGGCTGCCTTCGATTTTCTGATAATTACCGCGTAATAGTTCCCGCGCAATTTTCCGGCACTATGCGGGCTGAAAATGGAATGTCGTAAGAAAAGGGGGGCGGAGAGAACAGCAAGAAAACGACGCAGTTTCCGTCCAGACATGATCCTCGCGTCCCCTTCCAGGACTCGATGAAAGCGGGTTGATCGCCACCATTAAACGCCCCCGACGATTAATTTAAATAAATGCGTCGCTATTATGAGCGGCGAACACTTACCTGTGAAAGATGGCGGATATTCAAATATGGATCTCCTCGCTGAAAAGTCACGGAGGACTTAATCTTCTGATGGATCGCGGAATTTCCTCCTGAAATATTCCGACAAAGAACTATGGAGTCGGCTTAATTTGAGGATTACGTGCCGGAGTTTTGCCGACGAATAGAAATTTCTTCCTGATCCTGAAATGAAAATCAAATCAAATTGTCCTCGAAATAACTCGAAGTTTGACCGAATCATTAAAAAATTTCACAACAAGATCTTATCGCTCGCAATATTCTATGCAATATTAACGGACGTACTTGTTAAAACAACTATAAAGCACCCGAAAAATATATTGAAAATTTTCTTTCGATATTTCCTTCAAATCGCCAGTTACGCTTTTCTTTCAAGTGCAATTTAATTTTGAGGAACATAAAATCCACCAAACATCCGATTGTGTTTTTTGTTTCTCAAAATTAAATCGCGCCTAAAAGGAAAGAAAATTTGAGAACGTCGGCAGCGTTCAAAGAAGTGTAATTGAAGAAGATATCGAAAGAAATTTTTCAAAAGGCTTTCCAGGCACTTTATCGACATTCTGTCGAGTGTATGAAACGTCGTGGAAAATTAAAGCGATAAAATTTCATTATAGACTGTTTTTTTATTGATTTAGTCCTGGAAAATTTTAGTTCCTGTATATGTAATGTAAAATTCAATAATAAAGACATATAAAAAAAAAGAAAAGAGGGAACGAAGAGAAAGGACAATGACCGGGTTGCAAATGTATGTTAAGCAATTGGTGTATAATAACAATAATATATATAATATATATAACGTATATGCATGTATACATGATTATTACAACAATTTTGTTTAATTTAATGTAACCCAAGTCGCCGGAACCACGTTCAGGACGATTTTTGTATGTGTCGCGCGCGGATGCGAGCGCGCGCGCGCGTGTGTTGCTTGTGTGTGTGTGTGTGTGTGTGTGTGTGTAATCATAATATATTATTCATAACATATATTAACATCTTGCATCTTGGACTTCCTTGGAGATACTTAACTATCGCACATTTTACGTTATAAAAAACTGGGTACCTTAAAACCCGCCTTACACCTCCCGCGCCAATCTGGACGTCTTCTCTTTTCGTGCGCGCCTATATATTATAGAATATTACTTTAATCTAAAGCTATCTTGAGATGCGTATTGGAAAACGTTTAAAAACACTTCAAAATGGCATGTCGCGTATAGAAAATCCGAATCTATCAAATTCTCCGACATTTTAACCCTTTCAGTATCAAATCGTAAGTGTTAAATATCTTAAATAGAGTATTAAATATGTTACATTGATAGTGCTTCCATAATAAATGTGGAAAATCGAACGATTTCCTTTTTATCTGATATTTTAACTCGTCTCACGAGTCGCTAGAAAAACTCCACGCTTCGCCCCGTTCCAAGCGCGAGAATGGAATAAATCTATATAATATATTTCATAAAATCTACTTCGCGTAAAACTTTGTGTAGAGTATTACAAATGTGACGGGATTCAATCACACCTGCTTTCGCCGTTGCTACGACTGTGTTGACACACAGTTGACATTTTTGTTAAATGCAGTTGAAACGGCCGTTCGCCCATTAATTTAACACCGTGAAAAACTGTATCGGAAGGGAAATTAATACAGTTACGGTATTAATTCTCGTCTCTCTTCGCGTCGCACGGCTGCGTCCCGGCAGTCGTGCGACATTAATCCTTCGCTAAACACTACGGAATTGTGTTAACGCCTTATTCAACACCGTGGAGATCTACGTTTCTCCACGTAGCGTTTATTAGCACGCGTCGCAGAAAATCCATAGAAAGGACGTGTATACGGTTACTTTATCGCTAGATACGGAAAGGGTTGCGACGTAAATATTCGCTCGAAAACAGTGATTCACGAACAATTTCGTGTGGCAGTCGATTCTCGTCTCTCGCGGAAAAAGCTGCGCGACGAAGGAACTTGTTTCGACAAGGCATCCTTGCCATGAGCTCGCTACTGGCACGAGAAGCACATGATCTAAATAAAGAGCTTGTCTCATGATAACGCCGGCGCCGAGCGGTCGTTAGTCTTCGTCTTTCGCAGCTTCACCGTCGCGAATATGTTAGTCCTGAAAGGCGTTAATTGCGGTTAATGCTCGGGATATCTATAACTACTGCAACGATGGAGACATTGAGACTTTGAGTAAACTTGAAATCTGGAAAGAACGACTGCCTTTAAAAAAAACAAAAAAAAAACACGCAAGAAACTCGCTGCTTACAAAACATCTAATTTTCAACTCTCGAAATATATCACACATCTCCTTCACATCTTTTACAGACTAAACAGCACTCGAGCTAGCTATGTATCGTTTAAACGCTAAATTTGCATATAAAAAGAAGCGCGGCTTCAAGTTTGCAATACGATTAAAGCTACCGATAAAGAAATGAAAAATGGCAATAGTTGTAAATAATCTAGCGGACAATGTTGCATTATGCCAGCAATAATAATAAAACAAAATAGAGCGTAGACGTGCAGCGATAACGGACAACAATGCAGGTCGCAACCAATGATGACGAATCAGCCGGTTGCTCGCTTCCGTTTCGGAGAAGACAAGTCGCTTAGATGTCGTCGCAAAAATGTATCGAGCGCTTTCTTTGACGATACTGCAAGCTCCTACAACATCAACAGCCAAATCATTGAGAACGAGACAAAGCATCGAGGAGGAGTCAAACGGTGCTAACACTTTGAGATGAAGTGCGGAGTTGATCGTTCACGGAGAAGCTACTCATGAAACGGGCAGCCACAAAGAGATTCGGAATGGCCGAGGGAACGAAAAAAAACAAAAAACTTGAGAGGGTTCGGGGTGAAAAACTAATACTGGAGATATGGTAACAACTGCAAACTTGCCATTTGTTCACTCATTCAAATTTCAACCTCTTCACTCGTAAATTATTAGCGCACTTAAAATTAAAAAAATTAAAGTATTAAAACCGCGCGCAGTGGAAACTGCCATCTCTCGTATTTTTCTTCACTTCTTCGATAAAGCATCATTCGTTCTGCTTCTTCTTCTTCTTGAGCAAAGTGTCCGGCAGAGTTTCCTTTTTTTCTTATTCTTCTTGTGTTTCATTTTCTGTCTTGTCTGCGATGAAGAATTAATGTAGCGGGCGTTCCAGCAAGGAGACAGATAGACACTATATAATAAAATTGAACGCAATGCTTCAAACGACACTTCTTAAAGCCCGACATTAGTCGTTGATCTGCGCTAATATCGATTTTTTTTGTTTATCCTCGATTATAATCGTTTATTTGTACTTGGCAATTTCGCCTAAAACAATTATAGTTATTAAAACTAGTTATCTGCTTATTAAAATTATAATTTAATAAACAAATCTTTTTCATTGTATTCTTAATAATTTATCAATGATTTAAATTTCAACTAAAGCGAAACAAATATTTAAAAAAAAGACTATTTGGTGCTAGATAAAATTTAAAAATTACTGAAATTGACTGCGAAAAAATTTTCGATTCTGATTTTTAGCTATGTCATTGCGGAAAATCACATTATGTCGGTTATGTTCTTTGCTGGAAAGCTCCCGTATTTATTTGGTATGAAGATGGACCTTGAAAACTATGTTAAATTCTCTTGTTTCAAGTTACGAATTTTGCGAAGCGTAGAACCTTTTGTCCTTAAAAATTATAATACAAAAATCAAGAAATCGGATATGAGATTCGATGAAAAAATCAATCTCAACATTTCGTAAATGAATGGAAAAACTAATCACATGATATAACCATGTGACCGTCATTTGTGAATTGATCTCTCGCACAAACTTCATACCAAATAGACACATTCATTCTTCCGTTCTTTAAATTCAATATCCGTAGCGTTGAGATTTTGCCAATTTTCCAGCTCCTCTATTGCTGCTTCTGCTTCTTCTTTTTCTTGACAGACGCGTCCGCGCCCCAGAGATCATACCAAGGGCCGCAGGTGTTCCTGTCACGATCGGACTCTCTCCTCAACTTGGTCCTCGGCAGCAGCGTTTTTTCCGGCATACTCTGGTCCTTCACGACGATGCAGCTGTACGTGGACTCCTCGTCGGAAGCCTCCGTCTCGCTGAAATTCAGCGTCGCCGGCTCGTCGTCGTCGTAGTTCCTCCTGTCGCGCGCCATCATCTCACTTCGTTTGCTCTCGTTATTCACCTTCAGTTCGGCGACGATCATGTTGCGCTTCGCCTCGAGACTGCGCCTACGTTCTTTCTCGATAATCGCCTTCCGCGACACGTTACCGACGAAGTACGCGCGCTCCTCCGACTGCTGCTGCTGCATCTTGTACTCCGACCTGTCCGCGATCTTCGACCTCTCCGCCGGCGTCGGGAAATCCTCGAAGTAATCCGTCTTGTCGGGCGGCTGGCTCCTCTCGGCGGCCTTCGGCTCCTCGTGCCGGTGCTCGTTCGTGATGGTTCCCTCGCTGTTCCCCCCCAGACTCGAATTCGGACTGTCGGCCTCCGAGCTCCGCTGCCTGCTCGGATTCTCCGCCGTTCTACCTTCCTTGCGAATCATTTTTGGAATGTCCACGAGCGAGCGATGCTGCCAGAGCGCCATACCTTCCAGAACCTCCGAGTCCCGGCGGAATTTCCAGAAGGACTTGGTCCGCTTCACCAGTTTCGGGCTCTTCGGCTCGTCGAAAGCTCGTCCGGTTTGAGCGAGATGTCCCATCGCGGTCGACTGACGCGGCAGCAGAAGCTTCCGCTCCATCTTGAGCGTGTTGTTGTTAGTATCGCCATTGCTATGCTCGTTACCGCGAGGCATGGAGCCCCGCTTCTGTAGACTCGCACCGTGCAGACCCGCGTGGTAACCGTGTCTTTCGATTATCTTCGATCTCTCCAGTTTCGTTTCGAAGTTCGACTCGTAGCCGCGATCTCGCTCGAGCGAGCCCGCCCCGTAACGCTCGGCCTCTCCGTAAATCGCCTCCTCCTTGTCGGAGTATCTGCGCTCTCGATAAGGTCCCATCGGCCGCTCCGGGGCCTCCTGCGACGGCGGTCGCGGCCGTTCGAAGCGCCGACTGGACAATCGCTCGACCGTCCTGTTGCGATTCTTCTCGAACGTTCGCTCGTAACCCATCGCCTCCTTCCGCTGCTCCATGTACGCGCGCTCCAGCTCGTGCCTGGTCGCGCGGGCCCGCTCGTACGATTGCGCCTCCTCGCGCGGCCGCTGGAAGCTCTGCTTGTCCTCCTTCGAGTGCTCGAACCGCTGCTTGTCCTCGCGCGAGCGCTCGTAGTTCTGCTTGTCCTCTCTCATGCGCTCCGAGTTCTGCTTCTCCTCTCTTGCGCGCTCGAAGCTTTGCTTGTCCTCGCGCGAGCGCTCGAAGCTCGGCTTGTCCTCGCGCGAGCCTCGCTCGAGCGAGCGCCTGTCGTCGCGCGCGCGCTTGTCGTCCCGCGAACGTTTCTCCTCGCGTCGCTCCGCGTCTTTCTGCCCGCTATTCCGACCGCGCTCCAAACTCTTGTACTCCGCGCCGGCTCTCTCGTGACGATCGCGCGAGAAAGCCGCTTCCCTCTCCAGACTTTTGTACTCCGCCGCGCTCGCTCTTTCGCGCCGCTCGAGGAACTTGGGCGGACTGTGCTCGCGCGCGTACTTCTGCGCGGTCTGCTCGAGCTTCTGCGTGATGTGCTCGACTTTGCGACCCGGTTCCGGGATGGTGATGGTGCTCTCGTCGTCGGATTCCGACGACGAGCTCGAGGACTTGCCGTACTTGCTCGTTTCGAAATTGTGCCCCCCCTTCCTTTGCTCCTGCTGAGTCTCCTGATCGTCCGCGTAGAATTTATTGCCGCGATACTCGGCGCTGAACTCCTCCTCGTCCTCCTCTTCCTCGGTCTCGGCCTGCGTCCGCTTGTCGACGCGCCGCTGATCGCCGCGACGGTTGTTGAAATGGGCGTCGCGCTCGCTCGTCATCTTCGTGCGCTGATTCGCGCTGGGCCGCTCGCTCGGCGCCTGTGCCGATTGCTTGCTCTTCTTCTTCTTCGCCACGTCGCCGTTCTCCAGCGCGAAGTCGCCGTTGGCCATCTCGAAGTACTTTTTCGAGTCCTCGCCCGCCTTATTGACCTTGGACTCCGCCCAGAGGTCCATCGCCGTGCGATACAGCTGCCAGGACTTGTCGTCCGTCCGCGGGATCGTCTTCCAGGAGTCGTTCTCCCAGTTGTCCTTCGGTTGCTTCTCGTCCTTCGGGGACGGACGATCCCCTCCGCTGCGCGGCTTCCGGCGCCGTTGTCTGTGTGCGCGGCGCGCGGTAGAGTAAAAGAAAAAAGAAAAGAAAAGAAAAGGGGAAAAAGGAGGGATTTAGAAAGGGGGAGAGAGGTGGTTGATGCGGAGGACCATCACCATGGTGGCTTATTTCCACGAGCGACCACGATAGCGCATGCGATATCTACAAGAAGGAGAGACACATTCTTCGAAGGAACGAGATTTCATTCGTAAAAAGATAAAAGTCATTACAAGCTGCTCTTCCAAAGCCACATCGCACCGAGTAAGCTGAATATCGATATATATCGATATATATATATATCAAATTGTTTCGATTGTAAATAACACTCTTTCGCAAAATCAGCTATCGTACAGCAATTAATGACAATATGTCGCGTATTGCAAAGATTATTCGGTAATTCAATTGTACTTTATTCGCGATTGAGTATACAATTTCCGCAACACATCCACCACCGTCAAGGTTTTTATTTCTTTCACTCGCATCACAAAACTAATCCAATTGAGTGCCGGCGGAGAAGAGCGGTGGAAGAGGGATGAAATTCGCACTAATTACAGGGAGATAGTATAATAGCAGAGATACGATAATACAAAGCTTCAATCGCGCTGAATAGGTCGAAGCGAGGGTGCGCTTATCGGCTAGTTATCAGAGCGTAATGTTGGGGTAGCGAAGGTATCGAAAGATCGGAAGGCCCAAAGTACCAAATAACATGTAATTTAACATTCGAACGCGAATAACAGTAGTTCGCGTGTAAACTAAGAATTGAAATTGATATAATAGCGATGAGATCGGTATCCGATGTTACACCGACAATGAGTATCTCGCAATTGTGACTGTTTTAAATCTTTACTTTTAAATATAAAAAATATGAATTCTAAAAGTATTGTAAAAGATTCACACTCGCGGAAAAATTATCGCAAGGTACGTTTTCCTAATTTTTGATTAATTATTATTCAATACACGCGTGTAATGTTTATTTCTGTAATATATCCGACATTTATATTTTGTATTTAAACGTAACTACAACAAGATTTGCTATTTTTGTTGTAAATTGCGGCGTTAATTACGTACAAACGTAAGAATCACCTTCGCGCGTTTATCGAAATTTGAACTCAGCACAATTTTATCAATTTCCATCCCCGATGTAGACCATGTAAATTACGTGAACTTCTTTTTACGAGTGACGACTAAAATCATTCATAGTGTGAAAAAGCTTTTTCTTCAATACACAAAATGATAAATAAGCCCCCTCTGTTTCAATTTACGATTAAAAAATTTATAATTAGATTATCATGTCGCAGCACTGTAATGGATTGTTGCTTTAATTTTCAACAAAGTTACTAAAACGATATCTTTACGTATCTTTACGCGAACAGCAGAAATTTTCCCGAGATAATTTACTTAACTTACGCGCAACTTACGCGAATGTTCAACCAAACGTTACATGGACGACACGTGGCAAGCAAAGACAAACGAAGAGTAGACGCGAGCTTGCAGCTTGGGATGCAGATTTCGGACTTACCTCATTGCCTCGTCGTCGCTGTAATCGACGTCAGGCTGCACCGGGGGCTCGTTGGAGAAGCCGCTGTCGTTGCTGCTGTGAAGAGACGTCATTGCCGGAGGTGGCACGGGAGGCACCGGCGGTTGCACCCTTCGCCCTCCGGCTAATACCGCGGGCAGCGTGCCCGATGGACGGATCTGCAACACGAACAAAACGGCTTTTATCTCACCTTAATATACTTTTTTAAACAATTCCGCGGCCACACGCGTGTATATTACACAGCAGAATTTACTCTTGGAATTTTGAAATCTCCAAGCGCGCAATATTGCTTGAAAAAAATTAAAAGGAGCTATTAAACTGTTCTTATACATGTTACATTTTTTTATTTATTTATCATTAATAATATAGTATGCGTAAAAGTTTTTATGTAATTTACACGTAATTACAGAAGGTGCAAATAAAATGTTGCTGTGTAACAAAATTAAAGTAATGAAAGTTAAATACGTGATTAATTATGGCGCGTGATCGATTATGTTGTGGAGGGAAATAAAATAATTAATAACCCGCACACATTTATGAACCGCTGTATTGAACTAATAACTCACGGATTTTGATTGGCGCGCGGTGGGAGTCGCCAAGACATTCGCGTTGTTAACTGGCGTGCCGGCGTTGCTACTATTGTTGTTGGCGTTCATGTTGTTGGCGGAACTATTCCCGGCACCGGTATTACCCACGGATGACTCGTCGATGTTGGCTGGAGTTAGAGGCGGTCGAGACGGGGGCGGTTTGCACGGCGGCACCGCTTGCGGCTCCGGAGTCCTACCATTGCTTGCTGCGTGGCTCGGCGATCTTCGCATGATTAAAGTTATATAATGCAACGTTATACATGCACAAGCGCAAAGTTAATTAGAAAGTTACAAAACAAATAATCAAGTGTAAAATAAAAAATATCTCGCATGTCCCGCACACATAGCAAAATTGACAACCAATTCTGCGTTTCGAACTTGTTGAGCAATATGACATATGCAAAAGCGAGTTAATTAAAAGGATTAAAAATTAAAAATTGTGAAGGCAGAAAGAAATAATGAAAATTAGCAGTAAATGTTAATTAATTTTTAACAGAAAAACAGAAATCGATAGATGATTATCTGACGAGTATATTAAATTCTAGGAAATATTAAAAAGACATTTCTTTACCGAAATCTATAAATGCAGAATATTAGTACGACATGTTTGGGGAGTTAATGATGAGCGATTGTAAGTGCGAAACTTTGGTCGCGCACTTGAGAAATTTTACTTACCCCAAAGTGTCATCGATTATAATCTCGGTGTACGCCAGGGGAAACCATCCCGTGCTTTGAGTACGGAGGTTCTCGCCAAACTGCCATCCCTTCTGACGGTCTCCTAAAGGAACGAAATAAAGAAAATTATGCAAATCTGCGAAGTAAAAGCTCCGTCCTCATTAATATTTTCACCATTCAGATTCTCTTTAATTGTACATATTTAAAAACTGGCTACTAGATATATCTTTCACGTTCCGTACGATTTTATTATGCAACAGCTACGATTCTAAGTTAAGATGTCTACTAAAAAAAAAATCCTGTTGACTTTCCAGACACTTTTAATTCAATTTCCAAGCAAAACTGCGGTATCTTTGCGGATTAAAAATAAATTCGTTTGTTGCGTGAGTGTTCTAAAAGATTTTTCATTCATAAAGTAAGAAACTAAGGAGAGCTCGAGTTTCAAATATTAAATTTAAAAATATGATGAAAAAAGAGAAAAAAAAAAAACTAATCACGAAATAAAAGCAAAATTCTCAAAGAAACATTTTCAATAGAAATTCCGCGAATGCCGACCGAATTCCCCGAGAATTCCCGGTTTCGCAGGTTTTTCCAAGTAGCAGACACTCCGGAACTACTGTAGTTCCGGAACATCGCATATATATCGCACGTATTGATGGACCGTATCTCGAACTCACCCATCAAAGCGATGAGATCACCCTCGAGAAAGCTCAGCTGATTCTCCCCCGAGCTGAGATAGGCGAACAGAGCCCTAGCGAGAGGCGCGTCCCCCAACCCCCGATGCTGACTCCGGTGCCGCCGCCGCTGCTGCGGGACGCGGGGGGCGCCATGGACCGAGGCCGGGGTGGGGTCTCTGGAACCTCTGGAAACCAGAAGCGCTGTAACTGACCGTACAGCGAGCCGCGCAGAGGGATGAGGATGAGCCCGGGATAATGCAGGATAGTTTCGGGGTAAACCAGGGCAATTAGGTCAGCGGCGAGCGATGTGTAGCGGTAGTTGGGATGTAAATTGGAAAGCGAATGGGCAATATTGCCCTCGCGGAAACATTCGGAGTTGTGAGAGTCGTATTGGAAATATCAGCGGCGCATTAATGACGACGCGATCACTTTTCAGCGCGGCGGATCAAATCGGTGAGCGCGACGGGATTTATTTATATATCGTTTACACGTGTTATGTCTTTCTATCTGTCCCGCTTTCCTCCCAAGCCTTTGTACTTCCGCTCTCTAATTTCAGCAAAACGCGCAACGTGGCGCAGTCCAAAAGGAAACAAACTCGGCGCGTGAAGATAGCGCGTGTAATGACGGGGGTGTGATGAACTGGCGTGACACGCGACACCGCGACGATGAAATACGGGCGCGGGTCGCGTTGCACAAACGAAAGCATATTCCGGTTTTATTGCGCGCGAGACCCGGAACACGTCGAAAGCTTCGGGTTTCGACGCGAGTCACCGAATCCGATCGCGGACTGAAATTTATACGATCAGAGGCTCGCGAGAAGAGAGTGGAAACGTCAGCACGGATAGCTCCATTCCATCGATTTTTCTCGACCGCTATCGTTCACCGGTTAATGGCCCGCTGTTGTCGCTGTCGCGCGTGACACCGATGTAACAACAAGCCGAGCGAGAAATTATATTAATTCAAAGAAAATATGCGCGTCACTTTAATTCACGCGTGCATTTGATTTTCGCTTTAATTCCCGTTTTATAAATTTATAATCTAATTTTTTATTCAAAACAGAATGTTCAATGCGAATTGGATTACAAAATATTTGTTCCAGCATAAGAATGAATATTAATGAGCGGGAGGGGCGAATTTTTGCCACGGCCGCGTAGCGCATAGCGCGAAAATCGATATCATTGTCGCAGGAAAAAAAAAAAAACCAAAGCAGCAGAACGTACCGGGACCGAGGGATAATGTCGAGGCGTGTAGGTTGGCCTCCGACCTCGCTCTAGAGAGGACTGCGGGGAGATGCGACGATGGACCAAGATGGCTGGCAGATGACGGCGGATTTCCGGACAGCGGGCCTAGTCGCAGCTCCAGGCAGGAGCTGTCCATGCTCCTGGTTTTTCGCAGCTGCGAACTCATCGTCGTCGGTTCGGAGCCACCGTTCTCCTCGTCTTCCGGCCAGAACGACGTTTGCTGCGCGTATAAATTGCGCGATTACGATAACGCAATTTCTTCTTTAAAAATTGCTAACTAATTATTCTGCGATTGTCGCTCGTCTCAATAAACGAAATCAAGAAACTTAATAATATTCTACAGGTTTTTGTATTAAATATGTTATGAAATTACGTGTTACATTTAATATGATATACAGACTCAATGAGTCTTACATTTTTGTCCGCTCTGCTGTACGAAAAAAATATGGTATTGCGTTAAAATTTATCGCGCCAATTTCGCTCTCCTCCAATTAATTCTTGATAGATCGCGCTATTATATACGCGAGGAACGATTTAAATAAATTCGGCACGTGAGCAAATGCCGGCCACAGAATTGATGAAAAATTGATCGCCGCGAATATATTGGCGCGCGGAATTCCTTATAAAATTTTGATAATCGAAAACGTATAAATATGCAATTTTGTGACCGAACCCATACGTAAAGATCCACGTTTTGTCGCGGAGAAGTCTGAATAAAATTGGCTGAATGCGAATGGCGAATCGCGGAGAAGCAGGCTTTATCGCGCTCAGATCAATTCGAACGATGTGAAGCGCGAAGAAGCGCGTATGAGAGATCGTGCGATAAGCTCCGTCGCGAATTTACCCTGAGTCTGGAAGCGAACATGTCCTCCACCGACTGGGGCAAATATTCCCTCGTGGCGGCGACCTCGCGCCATTTATCAACCGAGGGATGAAGCGCGGCCAATGCAACCTCATGAAAACTCGCATAGTGCTTCGCCAAGGAGCATTGTCGCTCCAGCACGAAACCGTATCGTCGTCGCTCCTGAGTCATCGCCTGTGAAAAGAACGCATAAAAGGCACGGTGTATTAATGAACTCGCTGCGTTAATGAATCTCATCGTGCAATCCATCATCTCCGTCGTCTCCCGTGAATTTAACAATTTCGTATTTGTTTTCCACAAGATTTCGCATCACTTATCACACCTTATCGCGTTCTTAAAAATACTCGCAGATAATAAAGTATGAGAATATTGCAAATTTCATCAATTTCGCACTATATTTCTACTGCATTTCGTATTTTTAATGTTATTTTTACATCTTATTTAACGAATTTAACGTGCAAATTTATCAAATTTTTTTATAGAGCTACGTTCGCTCAAATATCACCCCGAAAATTCTCGAAATTGTCACTTTTTTAATTAACCTTCGAAAAACTACGTTATTAGAAACCGATTCGAATAAATGCATGTGAAACAGTTTTGACTGTTAAAGCTCGATCGAAAATTCATTAATCGCACGAATGTTTCAAATTCCTTACAAAGTCTCGCAATAACACGTTACTCACGTTCTTCAAGCTCTGTTCGCAAAAGGCGTCGAGCTTGGTCTTCTCCTCCTCGAGAATCTGCATATTCTTCAGCTCCTTGTCCATGGCAAGGCCGCTCTTATTGGCGGCCCTAGACTTCTTCCGTTGCTTCTTCATAGTCGCGGCCGCCTTGCTGTAGGTCTCGGATCTGGTCTTGTGTTGCTGAAGAAATTTTTTCTGCTCGCTCTGAAATCCCCGACGTTGCATTATTATCATTTATAGCTGCCGGAAGTCAGGACTCGAGGATAACTAACGCCTCTTCCGGGGACTTCCAACAGTTTACTTACCTGGACAACTTTCGTGTCCTTCTCCAAGTTGGTCTCCAGAGGCACTAGCAGGTCCACGTAGAATGCTTTTAACTGTAACGTAAAGGCGTTGACAAAAGAGTTATTATTACGCGGAGCATACAGACAATGGCGATTTTAATTCTACAAATATATATGAAATAATTAATACAAATATAATAAAAAATAATACGAAATAATTCGCGTACAAGAGCGAGTTGTAAATTTTCAGCAAAGCTATCACTAAAAAATAAGTATTTGTTCCAAAATTGAAATAATAGCTTATTTTTCAGTAGCGACTGCTTTTCAATTTCTCAAAAAACGACTCTTTTATTTGGAAAATTATACAGCTTATTAACTGATTATCATTTCATCACATCTTCAGATTAGCATGCATTCGAATCGTCAGATTATTCTAATACGACGAGTTTGAAATTGCGGCGTGTAATTGAATAATTTCCTAAGCAAAAGATGTTTCGGGCAAATCAGAAAACTATCGCTGGAAAAAGCACAGTAACCGTACAGAAAAGTGGACTTGTTTAAACATTCGTAATAAATATTTGTTATGTAATAACAACTTTGCGAAAACTTTGCCTCGAATATTGCTAAAAGAGCAGTTAGATATTTCTTCAGCGTTCAGACGCCGTCTGAAACGAGAATATTATAGCGTCTTCGCGGCTAGAGAGCGTTAAGAGTGCGATGTTTCTTTATTTCCGCAACGTCTCGAGTTCGCCGTATGCTGCAAGCTCTAGACGGTTTACAAGTCTCTCCCAAGCCAGACCTAATTTATACTCGTAAAAGTAGTCCTCGGTAGGACGCATTCCGACAGAAAATGCGACAACGACGATGAAGAAGGCGCACTCTCTTTATTTTCTTTTTATTAGCGTCTTGAGAAAGCGGTGGTGGAAAGTGGTAAAAGTGACACGTAGAATTCTGCATAATGGAAAAGGAGAGGAGAACGGAGAGTAACGCAGTTACTGAAATGTAAGCGTAATGCGACCGTTATAATAGAATAATAGCATAATAAACTGTAAAGAAAAAAAAAAACACCAATTAAGTCTAAAATATAATGATGAAAACAATGTTTCGAGCGTAATGAGCGCTAAATAGCCGACGCGCGAGTGAAATAATGGCATAATTGCGCGCCGTAAAAATGAAAAGGATAATTTCGGCACGTGTTAATATTTGTTCGCGCTAGCTAAACTGTTGCAATAATCGAAACCACGAGACTTTCAATAATTATCGCGGTTTTAGAAAGTCAGTCGCGCATTAAATATTAATGGAATATCGAATGACTGAAACTATGGTAAAAAAACTACTCTTCTTCTCTCCTTCAACACGGAAATAGTGTAAGACGGCAAATCAGATTTCCAGACACATTTATCCCAATTTCCCTCCCGCAACTTGGCAAATCCGACATTTCGATTTTCGTCGGCACGGCGATACTTGACCGAGGCCAAATCTCGTTCGCCCTTCGAAATCTCGATTCCCGAAAATTCGATTCGGACCGAGAATCAAACTCCCCGACTTCTCCACACGTTCAATCATTCTTCAAAGCATCTTCTACAATCAAATCGCTACCCTCGCCACCGTCTGTCCGATAAAACAAGCCAGAAAGGTCTGTAAAGCGTGATTTTTCTACCGCGATAATAATATGCCTCTACGTTTGCCGTCCACTTGGATCCATCAGTGTATTAACCCTTTCGAATCTGCCCTCAGAATCGCCCCTTCCCTTTGGCGTTTCTTCGAGAGTTACCCTATCCCGCTCTCTTTTCCGCTCCGCTTCCTCTCCGCAAGCTCGCGTTTCACGAACAAGTTGTTTGTTTTACAGTTCGAGCACCCTTCGCCTCGTTTTTTGTACGTCGCTCAAAGGTAGGCGGATTGCAGCCGCCCGTTGCTATGGCTGCAATGCGTGGCAAGAGAAGAGAAGGGAAATCTCTATCCTTCTCCATCTCTTTTTTCGCTCTCCTTTCTCCCCCCCTCGCGAATACACGAATTTCTACCCACCGTGAATTTAATCCGCGTGCTTTCAGAGAATACCTGATTTTTATTGGGGAAAATCCGAAATTCTGTTTACATCTGATTGCGAGCCGCCCGTTATATCAGGCTCGCATTAGCGCGAGGGAGCGAGTGTCTTCGTGACGCAATTTGCTTCACTCCGTCGATCGAGAGTTATGGCATTGCCGGAGCGCGTGAGCTTTTCTGCCCTTCTGTTCTGACTTCCGGTCGCGTGACCGGATATCGGAGAATAAGATTTTGACCAGTGGCGGAGGACGTCGCGGAAATGTTTATTCGAAAAAGTAGAATGGCGCCTTTATTTTGTAAATTTTAGAAAAAGAATAACTTGCAAAACATTTCCGCGAGGTTTATCAGATTTATTTTAGAAGTTACAAAATCGAAGCTGGATATAAAAACTTTTTTATATTTGAAAAAGAAACATATAAATCGGATATCCTTCAGTAAATTATAAAATGTTGAATTATATAATTTTTAGAAAATTGTGAATCGCGGAGTGACAGCAACTTGGCAGAAGAATTCCGAGTTTCGCGAAGTTATCGATCGATCACAGAGATACACGCCCGCCAAAAAGCCGCGAAGTAATGCAAGCTACGTGAATTCCACTCCACTGGACTTGGCACTCGCCCTTCTCATTCCTCGTCCTCCTCATTCCTCGTGGCACTTCCTCCGCTTGCTCCTTCCGGACGCGCTCGAGATAATCTTTGTCTAGAGTATGTTTTTCATCGGCGAATCATGACGCAGCGTACACACGCGGCTCTGTTCTAGAATTCTTTGGAAGAATCAGAGGTCATCAACCCGCATTCTCCGACTATCCTCGATTGCAAGTAGTTTTCCATTTAATTTATTTAATAATTAAATTTATCATTTTTATCGATATGCAAATCCTATCATGTCCATAAAAATTCTTTTGCAGCAAATGTTTTGTTTAAAGAAAGTTTTACATATTAAAATAAAATAATTAACTTTATGCGTTATAATATTTTTCATCAAAGCATATTCAATTTGCTAATAATGCGCGATAGTGTTTCATGCCAAATAATTATTGATAAAAGATTGAAAAATTTTCAAAAAACCGACTCCGACTCAAATGCCTTCTATTCTGAATTTTTCTTATCGGTAAGATCGCGACTCTCCAGCGCTGATTATGAGAAACACGTCACGCGCAGCTGATAGCGCGACGCGATTTGAGCATCGCAGCGTTTAATAATTTAATTGCCGCAGCAAAAACAAAAGGAAATATTCTTAACTGGCGCACGGTTGCAGCTGCAGTTGGGTTAGATTAAATTTGGTCAGGTCGCTGGAGGGATATTTCCACGGGAAGGTCAAAATTGCGGAACACGGTGGTGGCATGTTTGAGAGAGAAAAAGAGAGAGAGAGAGAGAGAGAGGGTTACAAAGTCGTAATAACCACATGTCGTTATGACCGCAATGAGATTCCATGCTCAAACGAAACGCCCGCGGGATGTAATGTCGTCCCCGAGGGCGAACGGGGAGGCGAGCCGTAGGATCAAAGAGGTTTCCGTGCACTTCTACATGCCGTAGAACGGTTCTATAGAGTGTCGCGAGATCAGCGATGGGAGGGACAGACGAGACATAAGAATTTACATTCTTGAAAGGGAACGTGACGGCGATATCACATTTTCTCAAGTTCTCCAAAGGACTTCGTTATAAAACATATTTTACTCGACGTTTGCATTTTAAGTAATTGAAATTGCAAATATTAATTACATTAATTATTTATTCTAATTTGAGTGTTGAAAAAAATTAATTTGTACTCATTTATTATTATTTATCGAATCAATCTTCCTCTCTCGCCGAGTTTGCGAATAGTGATTTTCAGGAACAAACGTAAAACCTTCGTTTCACCATGCAATAATATAAATAAACAAATAGACGCGACTTTACGCTAGATAAGCTTGGCATTAAACGAAGACGAAAGGGACATCTTTACGAATCCTGGCAGACACGACCGGGCTCTGACATAATCTCCGGAAATGGACAGTGGGGTAAAAGATAGACGAAAAAAATGGGGAAGCAGACAATGCGTTTGCTTTTAGCAACCCTACGAAATGCCTTGGAATATTATTTAAGCTCTATAAAGAATCTTTATGAAAGACCTCGGAAAGGTCGATGAGCCAATAAACAAATATATTGTATAAATTATTCGACATCAGATAAGAAATTATCGTTAAAATCTTACTTATTAAAAGAAAAAAAATTGAAATATGTAAGTATTCAATGTCGAATTCAATTTTCACAACAGAGAGAAAAGTGTAATGTCTGCCGAAAAAATTGTCACAAAACAAACGCCGTCGAGTGATTAACAAAAATATCTCCCTTTCATTGTACTTACGATGTTCATTTCCTGATCCTGTATCTCCTTGTACACCTCGACGATCCTCATCAGCGCGAAACCTGCAACACGGAAAGCGGGTCTCGATCAAACCTCGATTGTCTCTCGTAAGACTTCTCTCGCAGGCAGGCGGGCGGCCAGAACTTTCGCATCTGAATTATTCAGATGCGGTTCGCGTCGCCGATACTTTAATCCAGCATTGAGTGGCGGCAGGGGTGAAAGTGGAGAACGAGGGTAAGCGGGGCGAGAAGCACCGATAGCTTAAAGCAGCGCGTTACCACGATGCCTGCGGTCGCCCGCCTCGAGTGACTTCCCTGCCGAAAGCTCGCGAAAGCTCGCCACGAAAAACAAATGCTCGCGCGCGTCGAGCTCGATCGAGAAAGTTTCCACAGAGGGCGGAAACTTTTCCTATGGAAACGTTTCCCGTTTCCATTCCCTTGCCTCTCCTCGCCACCCCCCCTCCCCCCCCCCC